TACTAAGACACTCTGCGAAGCCCTAATTAAAAATTTCCTAATAATTTCTAACAAAACTGTACTAGGTTTGAATAACTATATGTTTGGTTCCCTGAAATAATATTGGTTGTGAAGAGACAATGTATGACCATGTAAATGTAAAAGAACCGCTTTCGTAAATAATTATATACTTACAATTGGGATTTCTATTTAACTGTCTAAAAGGTGTCTAAATGTGAGAGGTGAGAGACAATATAACAATGGGTGTACTATTTTGACGTTTGACAGTTTTGTTTTTTTGTTTGACAGTTTTGTTTGACGCACATAGGTTTTTTGTCTTTCAATGTTGTTACACTTTGTTCATTCTCGTTGAGCGTCGTATGTTGGTATGACAAAGAAATGTGATTACCATAATTAGCTTCGCCACCTTGACAGTCAACAATAACAAAAACTGCACAAATAATTTGTACAAATAAATACCTAATTTTAATAAACTAAAGTGCAAAAATGTGTATATTCGTATAAATATTATTATTATTGTTTTAACTTTTCACAATGGATAAATTAACACTGATATCAGGCACCTTGTTCATGGCAGCAGATGTCTTTGCAATTGTTAGTTTAGCAATGCCAGATTGGATAACTACAGATGTAGGAGGTAATAATTATTATCAAATACCATTAATAATAAACATTTGGTTAAATTTAATTTTTTTCCTCAGGGGATACAAGATTAGGTCTAATGTGGACCTGTATGACCTTGTACAATAGACCTCAAGTATGTTATACTCCCGATTTGCAACCAGAATGGCTGATGGCACTTATTTGTATCTTTATCGGTTGTATTTGTATAACGACCACGATTATTTTGTTGGCTTCCAGTCATTGGGATAGGAATGTTGTTCCTTATGCACGATGGGTTGGATTTACAGCAAGTAATGATAATAAACTATTTATATATATAAAAGATAGAGAAAAGAAATAGATTCAAATTTTTTTTTGCAATCTGAGATACTGTGAAAGCAATATATTTGATAAAACAGTGCTTGATAACTGTTTTATATTAACTAGCTGACCCGACAAATGTTGTTTTGCTAAGCAAGGTATATTCTAAACAATTTCTAGAGAATCAAAAATATTAATATTTTAAGTGTATAAGGATTAAGTGTTGTTTGAATGCTATATACAATGAGGTATTATAAAAACAATAAACCCCATTAGTTTGTCTATATTGTGTCAATACAATCAAACTGGAAGTTTTATACACTTTCTGTAGAAAACATGGTATCATATAATCCAATCCAAGTCTTTTTTGGTCTTTTGACTTATTGATTACGTTTCAAGTTTTTCAAATTCTTTTTGAATTCTGGATTTTGTGTATAATTGTAAATAATACTACTGAGCTAATACAAAATTTTCAAATTTTTACGAGGAGAGATAGAAAATGAATTAGATATATCTTCTTTGACCTGGTTTTTTAGAAGTTTCAAGTAACATACCATAAATTAAAGTAAATTTAATAAAAAGTATATATGTAGGGCAGGGCAAGGCATAAAGGTTCACTTTGACTTTGAGCAAATATAAATTTTATTATGAAAATCAAACAAATTTTATCACAACAAATGTCACATATCAAACGAACAATTATCTGACTACGTTCATTAAAACTACCAGCTACTTCATCATTGTACAAATGCTTTTTGCTGTCTTTCAAAAATTTGTTACCTAGACCTTTTTACTCTATGGGCGGGGTAACAGGTAGCAAATAGGTCTAATCTTATTTTAATTTTAAAGGTATTTTACAAAATAATTACATTTTTAACTAATGCTAAAAAACTACCGCCGGAAGAAAATACTTTACTATGGATTTTCAAAGATTACCATTCATCTCTCAATATCAAAGTCATAAGAATCAAGGTTATAGCTGGTTAAACATCTTTTTCCCTCTACTTTCAAATATTGTTGTTAAACAATGCTTAACTTTACTGGTTTTGACACATCGGTGGTGGACCTTTTTAACCCTGGACCTTCATATAGTACTATCTATTTTTCGATAAATTCTGGGAAATTATAACTGGGAAAATGTTATTCGACAAAATGTCACTTTGATCGATACCAAATTTAGGTTCTGAATTTAAATAACATAAATAAGAAATAATGTAACCTAGAAAATGTTTTATAAATACCAATGTGTATATAATTATATAAATGAACTCTTTCAGAGCACCGTGTTTGAGAAAAATATGCTCAAAAGTGCATTTTCATAATAACATTTTAAAAAAGTTGATATTTCGTGTTCTTACTAACACTTGCGGCCCGTTTACTAACGTTATTTTGTATATAAATAAAACTATAAACAAAACTACTTACTACAATTTAATCATAATTAAATAATATTTATGTAAAACCTATTAAATATAATTGAACATCATCTGTGAAAAACGTTTGACATTTGACGTATTAGCCACCGTCCATTGTTTTATTCAAATTACGCTTCTACAAAAATGTAAAGTTTCTACGCGATCTCTGGATTGTCACGAATTTTTCAAGACTAAGACTGGCCAAATCGGTTTAGCCGTTTTCGAGTTTTACCGAATCATTTGATCGAGAGCTCCATTTTTATATATAAGATATTAAATTAATGAATTTTCTCCTATAATAGGAAATAATAATCCTTCTAATTTTCTTCTTTAAAGAATCTAAACTACATATAAATTATAACACAGTACATTTTTTTTACATAAAGTCTGATTATAGGATATTTTAATTATTTTACTCCTATTTCTTTTCTCTAGCTTGTTTTTCATTTTTATTTTGCAATTACCAAAGCATTTATATATTTTTTAATTTTTTTTTTTTAGTGGTTCTATTTTGCCTAGCCGCTGTGATATTTCCAATGGGTTTCCATGTCGATGAAATAGGAGGACAACCGTATCAATTACCAAGCTCTCATCAAGTCGGTATAAGTTATATTTTATTTGTTTTAGCTCTCTGGATTACTGTGATATCTGAATTGTTTGCCGGAAAAGTATGTTTGCCACATTTTTAAAGATTATATGATATAATTTAATTAGGAATGTAAATATAATAAGATATGATATATATATATATATATATATATATATATATATAAGTTAACTATTTAACTGAAAATTTAATTTAAAATTAATATTATTTAAAGTTGACATGAAACCAAATTTTTATAAGTTCATAAAAGTTTGAAAGAAATTACGTAATAAGACAAATTATATATATATATATATATATATATATATATATATATATATATATATACTAGCTGGCCAGGCAATAGTTGTTTATGAGGAGCAATTAATCACATGATCGATTGTTTAAAGATTTTTGGAGCCTCCCTTT